GAAAAAAAAAAGGCATGAGAGAAACATTGCTTTACAAACCTTAAGACTTGATAAAAAATTAGATATTTTGCATATGAAAGCATTGTAGTGCTTACTGATAATGTACCATATTTTGTTAACATATGCTTACTAATTTAAAAGTTATAGCATGAAAATTATAACAAGCACAAAATGGTTATGAGGTTGGTCCCAGGGACCGAGCCCAGGTTAAAATAGTTAACAAGCTTAAGAACTGCACTCTAAATATCAAGTAGTAAATTAAACTTACAGTGTTTGGAATATCTAAATTAATTTTAATGCACAGCAGCTGGACTTATACAGCCAGATCATTAACACATAATTTAAAACTAAAATAAACAAAGCAGTTTGAGAAGTTAATTATGCCATTGATATTGTAGTACTTCCAAACATAGTTTACTCTGTAATATATTTAAGATTTATCATGAGAAATATGACCACCGAATCTAAAAGTCACATCAACATCTACTCTAATAAGACATGTCTAACTTACACTGAAGATTACTATCATCTGAGTGACCAATCCCTACCACTGTTGTGGGTCCTCGTGGTGTGTGGAACTGGGAATCTTTCATCTGTTGCTGTAGTAGAAATGAAGAGTTGTAATTTTATTAAAGGGTCATTCTGGTTCATCAACACCACTGAAAATTATTAAAATGATATTGCCAAGCACTAAATCCTATTAAAAGTCAAATTTCTTTGTTAACTTACTTATTTTATACTACTAAAGAATATTTGTTTGAAAATATAGCAGATGCCTTCTAGTGATAATGCTTTTCTAACTCAAGTATTCAATATCAATTCATTCCAGTATGTTAAATAAAATAATAGATTGAAAGTAATAACTTCAATAAAATCTTCAACTCCTCCAGTATAATTAACATCAGCTTATTTTTTATTACTGTTTTCAAGCCTATCCAGTACTTAATCAATTATACTTATCCTCAATCAGAGTTCATGAATCCCAGGAGGTCTGCAAAAAAGCTATGGAAAGGCCTTTGAGAACACAATAAGTTGATGTATAATTTAAAATGTATAGCTCAGTCTGCTTTTTTCACCAGGTCTATACAGTTAATTTTGTCTTGTGAAGAGATTGCTACTGAATTAGATTTAAAGAGCTACAAGGACAAATATATTCGATCTCAGAGTCCCATGCAACTCACCTCCAGGCGTTCCAATTGTAGAAAAAGAGAGTTCTTTTCAGTGCTCAAAGCTTCTACTAATGTTTGTTTTTGGATTAAGTTCTCAGTCAATGCATGTAGACGTGACTCCAGTTCTGCCTGACTGTTTGTGTTGAGAGCCTTGGCCGTAAGCTATGTGAAATACAGACAAACATAATCAAAAACGGCAATCACGCAAACATATGATTTTTAATGAAAGACTAGGTTTTTCAAAGGATTTCTTGGCTGCAAGTATGGTTTTTAATTTACTTTTCCCAAATGATCCACTTTGATATTATTATTTATAAGATGATGAATTAACCCTTATTGAAGGCAAGCATAAGTACATCAATATACTCTTGTTGATCTTATCTTTACAGTAGCACAGGAAGAAAATATTTTAAATACAATATATAAATCACAATTAGGTTACTTAAATTTTTGGTCATAATGCTTTTCCTGTAAACAAACTGTCCAGCTTTGAAAGTTATGGTAGAATGAAATCACAAACCTGCTTCCTTAGTTTATCAATTTCTAACTCCCTGTCATGAATTCTGCCTTGTAAGGTGGTCTTGGTGTGGGTTAGATCTTCTCTGAGGTACTTTAATTCCTACAGCAACAAAAAAAATCTCTTCACAAAACTACATTATCTTACTCTCTCTCTCTCACTATATATATTAAAACTAGCTGGAGTACCCGTCCCCTGAATGGAAATTATGTAAATTCATGATTAATAAAAGGTTATCTTAGGGCATGAAAGTTGTTTCTCTTATATGTAATTTTAAAAAACACCTATAAAAACTGCAAAACACAAAATGTGAAGCCACAAATTTGCATATATCTTCACATGGACTGAACAAATCTTCATGCCATATTTGGTGAATATCCATCAACAGAGGGCAAGGTAGTGGCAAAAAATGCAAAAGCACCCATAAAAAGCACAAACTGAAAATTTGTATGTATTTCCCCATGGACCCAATGAACCACCATACCAAATCTGGTAAAGATCCATCCACACCCTGCGAGGTAGCTACATGCACATACAACAGACAGTACTATTATATGTATATGTAAAGCAGAAGTGCTGTTTTTGTGTTTGCTTTTCATGTCTACACTTTTTTGACCAATCTCAACCCTACTTGGCATGCACTCTTAGAACCTCCAGAGTGTTAAAAGAAGTGGTTGATCTGACCTCCCGTGTCACTCTTTAGGGGGGTTATTGTTTCTATGTCTCTATCTTTCACACCTATATTTTGTTACTGATCTCAACCACCATCAGTATCCACTATTAGTCCTCCCCCCCAGGAGTGTCAAAAGGGGTGTCCGATCTGACCTCTAATGTTACTCCCTAGGGGCAACTATCCATTTTTCATGGATATATTTTTTGAACAATCTCAACCAAACTTGTTATGCACCTTAAGGGCCCCCTGGAAGTATTATAAGGCATGGTTGTGGCCTCTTCGTATTATAAAAGTTAGTCACTAAATATGAAAAGGCTTGTGTCAATTGAGTAACAATATTTGTATGTACTGTTTGTTGAAAGTTCTGTTATTATATTCATGTTTATATTTATTTTACCATCATCCATTAAAATGTAAGTTACCTACAAAACAACACACTTGGAAACATAATTCAGTAGATATCATTACTCAAATAAAAGTCAAGTCAGTTACATGAATTTTTCCTCTCAGAATATTTTGAAGTTTGTAAGTTTTGGATAACCTAAACTGTTTGTTTTCTTACTTATTATTATCATTATTAATCAATTTCTTCATGGTTCAAGCCACAAGACTACACTGCAGTACTATTTTCTGAACACTAATATCACAAGATACAGAAATTGTTGCTACTACAAGTAAGTAATAAATATGAACACATCAAAAACAACAAGACAACTACACAATAGTTAACTAATTCTAATAACTTAAAATTGAATGTACTGGTAATATGTCAACTACACTATATCCATTATATTCAGTGTTGATGAGGCCATCTGCCCAATAGATGGACTTATCAGTCCAGCTTTGATACAACAGACACAGCAGTGGTCAAGTTGCTATTCATGTTAACAATTGCATGAGCAACAACAGATTAAGTAGGTGAATTATAATTATTAGCTACATCATTTACAAATTAGAATTAGGGTAAAAAATAAAACAGTACATAATTAAAGCTTTCCAGCCTTGTATCTTGGTTTTTGCAAAAGCAACTGACACCATTAAGTTTTAAAAAATTCTGTTTGCTCTCTCCCATTAAATTACCTACAAAATAAAACTATACTAGAAATTACATATTTATAATGTTGTTTTGATGTATATTTTGTTAGCACGTGTTCTGGATAAAGTATTATATAAAATATTCAAACTACTGATCCTAATTTAGACTTTTACCTACACCTGTAAATAGTATCTGGGGAGTAGGAATATTTGAAGTCCCAAATGTGAACATAAAACTTGGCAACACATCTATTTATACTAGTTTTACTTTTAATGATATACATCACATTACATTGCAAAATTTCTTTCAACAAAGTGGGCAAGCACTTTTTCATAAGATCTGTGTTTGTATTTTGCTAACAAGCACGTGTGAAACTTAACTTTCAGATCAACCATTATGGATGTGTTACATAATGTAACATTAGTTATCATGTTTTTATTTTTTAACACGTCTGTGTTTTAGATACGGTTTCATTCCCGAGTTATTGATTTTTAGAAATGCAAATGCAATAGTGGCCAAAGTCATGTCACTGGGTTGGAAATGGTTAAACATCATGTTAATACTTGTCTACCAAGAATAGAATTCAAACAGCAGATTGGACATTTCAACTATACGTAAAATCAATACTTGTGTATTGAAGAAAGAATATAAATAGTAGAATAGGCAGTTCAGCTGCACATAAAACCAATACTTGTGTACTGAGGAAATAATTTAAACAACAGAATAGACAGTTCAGTTACATGCCAAATCAATACTGGTGTATTAAGGAAAGAATTTAAACAGCAGAATAAACAGTTCAGCTACGAGTCAAATCAATACCCGTGTACTGAAAAACAAATTTGAACAGTAGAATAGACAGTTCAGCCACATGTCAAATCATTACTTGTGTACTGAGTTCAAACAACACACTAGATATTACAATTCATTGACACTTGTGTAAATGGTCAAGTTAAAAACTCAATTTTCAATAAACAACAATTTATTGTAAACAATTCTAAAAATGACACTGTTTCCAGTCTCAAAAAAACAATAACATACCAAATAACTTACTGAACAGAATCAAAGAAAATCTCTAAAGAGACTGGACACAGGAAACAGTCTCATACACTCCACATGTTTTAACATGTTTACTGTGTCATTTTCAGGAGTGCAATGTCTTGCAAGAATCAGACTTATTTATACCCTTACAAAAAATCGCCATAATACATAATTTATTTTAAACATTTCATTGCACTGTATGTTGATGATAAATCTACAGTTAGTGATAAGATAGAGAAAAATAAAATATAAACATTTACCTTAAAAACATTTAATATTCAATTAGGAAGTTCTAGAGGTTATGTAAATAAAATATGAAAACCATAAGGTGAAGAAAAGCATTTTTATACTAAAACATGAAAGTCACCTTGCACTTGAATTATTCAGAGTTTGAGTGCAAATTACTATAGGCAAATAACACATTTTTAGTAGAAAGACTTAATCAAAATAATGTCATTTTTTGTGTACAAAATACTTCAACAAAATCTTACTAGGTTTTATGAGGATATCTCAGAGTTACTATATGTATTATTACATAAATGTCCTTCTCCAGTCGAGCTATTGTAAAATACATCAGGCCATTGTAAAAGGATTAAAAACTGTATACTAATTTTGGAAACCTTTAAAAATTTCATTGACTCTTTAAATCAAGAATGAATATCCATATTTATTTTCCAAACAATGTGAACTTATTTATGTTTTGATGTAAGAATTTTGTTCAAGGCAATTATCTGTTTAATATAATTGGAAGATATACAGATTGAATGTTACATTGTGTTACTCGGTGTTTATGAATCTTTTTATACAATTCTAATTTAGTGTTGTTGTTTTTTAATTCTAGGCATTTAGATACGTATAAATGCTTTTGGTTTGAAGTTGGGTTATAGCTTTTGAAAATGACACTGTACCTCAATGTTTTGAAGATTTTCTTGTTCCAAATCCTCTCTACACTGATGTTCTTCCTGAAGCTGTTCTTTTAATGACCTTAACTGCTCTTGGTTAGATTCAACTTCATTTTGGTAATTTTCTGCCATTTCTTGTAGCTCTGCTTTCAAAGCTTCTATGTTTATTTTGGAATTTTCCAATTCTTCTTTTAACTGATCTCGATCTTGATGTAGTTCTTCAAGATCTGCTTTGTAAGCTGCTGCTGTTGGGTTTGATGTTTTCTCTAAATTTTCATTATTGATGCCCCTTGTCTCTTTCAGACTTGCTATCAGTCGATCTTTAGACTAGGAAATCAAAAATGTCTATTAATTACTAAGTCAACAATATTAATCTTTTTATTAAGTTCCAGTATAAAATGAATCAAAAGATTTATTCCTTCTCCAGTGCACATATATGTTAATCTGTATCAACAAAAGTTTGATATTCTTATAAAATTACCTTTCTGTGTTTACATACAATTAAGTGTTTGAAGAAAACAGAGATTAATTACTGAAAATAAAAGATGAAATATAAAGTTTTTTTTAAGAAACATTTCATAACTATCTGGACATTATAAAGGTTTTGCATGTGAAATTTGAAGATTTTCTGATGCATAAAAGTACTTTTAAATCTTAAAATGAAAATTACTTTGCATGTTAGATAGGCAATATGCAAAAAGAAAAACAGGGATGAGAAAAACATTGCTTTACGAACCTTAAAACTTAATTAAAAAATTTTATATTTTGCATATGAAAGTATTGTAATGTTTGCTAATAATATGCCAAATTTTGCTTACATATGCTTACTAACTTGAAAGTTATAGCATGAAAATTATAACAAGCACAAAATGGTTACGAGGTCAGTCCCAGGGACCAAGACCGTGTTGAAAGAGTTAAAGGAATACTTTGTAATTATCCATTCCACCTTTCAAAACTAATTAATTAAAATTTGACTTACAAGCTTGTTTTTTTATGGTGTTGACAGATAATTTGAGATACAGTCATGGATATTGTAGTTAACTTATTTATTGGCAGCAAGAGCCAAGAGATAAGACAAAAATTTTCTTGTTTTCAGCTTACTTGAAACTGTGAAAAAGTATCAGTATCATGTATGTTTTGTTTTGTACTTGATGTAACAAATCACAGTCCAATATCAGCTATTAAAAGGAAAGCAATTAAATTACAAATATTTTCTCTCAAAGACTAAACACTTAGCAGTAAAACAGAAGTGCATATTTACACAATTCTTGCTTTGTTAGTTTTGCTATGACGATACTGAAATAACATACCTTACAAACTAAAGATAAAAGCATCATATTTCTGATATTATTTTTTATGATAATCCTTTGGTACCTGAAGAATACGCTGAGCTTTTTGCTTGTAGTCCGACAGTTCTTGACGTGTGTTTTCTAACGTGGTTTTGAGAGTTCTCACTTGCAAGGTAAGTTCTTTCTTCTGAGCTAAAAAGGAAAATGCAACTCAAAACAGACTGAAATGCATTTTGATTTAACTCTTTAGCTCAAGCTGTGTAAGTTCCAACCACCTTACTGCAAAAACATACTTGCTACATTGCTAATTTGATACATTATTGAGAAAAGAGAGAGGGGGAAAAAAGATATAAATTAGACAACACTACTAATGAAGACAAATTTTAAACTGAATATTTCAATATTCTCCCCAGTGTTTTTCAGAGTTTCCAATACTGAAAATATATTTCAGATAGGTCCTATTCTTTCAGTGTTACCCTCTATATGCAAAAATCTTTTTGCATGCCAGAAGCCTCGAACTCCCACATACCTCATGATCACTGTGGTTCAACTGCGTCTCACATGTAAGTCATCATGCGACAACCCTCCACCAATAGGAATGTGACACACCCTTCTTACACGTGCGACTCCCTCTATTCAATTCTACTGAACTATCACTTTGAAATTAGGCAAAAAAGAAAGCACCAGTTTCCAATATGGTACATTATATCCACTCACATGTATAGCTAGAATCCCACATTGAACAGGTGGAGGGACTGGTGAGAGGGAGAGAAATAAGTATCCTTCAAAAGCATCCAAAGAACACCCATTAAGTGTGATCCCTATTGGGAGAGGAACACATTTGGGAAACAGCACCACTTCTGTACCAGGTATACTCTGCACCCAATGAGGAAATAGGTGTCACATATGTGGACAGAAAGTGGAAGGAGCACAACCAAAAGGGACAGAAAAATTGGTTGGGTTTGAATCCAAACCACAATATAATAATGGTTGGAGAGGGCTTGAATGGGTAATAAAGAAAAACTTTAATACAAGTCTAACATAACAGCAAATGTACAAT